GAGCGTGCAAATCACAAGCAGCCGTACGAGATACCCTAACTACCTATCTGTGACGCGTCCATTGAGCGAAGTTGAATTTGGCGGAAACGCAACTTTCGAACCGCTCGTGGCATTTCCCATGATAACTCAAACGCTTCTTTTTCATATGAATCAAACAGAAACAGAAAACAAGACTTTTATTACGTATTATAACATCCGGAAGGTATTATAATTGCAACAGGCTTGATTACTAGTGACTAACTGTACTCAGCACTCTTGACGTGATTGAAACGTTCATAAATGTCCCACTCCTGGCGCATATCGTGTCGTAGATTCACCTTCATTTCTTCGTTAGTAGCGCGCTGCACTTATGGTTTACCTTAATTTTTCTATTAGTAGAGCACTGCTGATATTGATTTGTTTTAATTTTTCGACCAGTAGAGCACTACTATTGAGAATTTACCTTGACTTACCGGTTAGTAGAGCACTGCTGTTGATAATACTGACGCATCGGACGTTCCATCGCATTGATCTTTTACTTTGACGTAAATTCTTCCTTTAGTGTCCCTTAGTAGTTAGGGACGAGGGTTATTGTGGGAAAGTGCGGGTACGTACCCGCACACATACCAACGAATGCGCGAGTCTGTTTAAACGTTTTTTTTTTTTTTCACAAAACCGTGGTCAAGTGTATTTATTACTAGGCGATTTAGTTGGCCGCAAGACTGCTGATTCATTCCATGAACTACTGTACTCCCCCCCCCCCTTGCAATAATGCCTAAGATGGCGCTGCTGTTAATGTTCCAAATAAATAAAAAATAAAAAAGCCGAAAAGCCAAGCCCTCTCCCCTCTCCAGAAATAAAAAAATGTGGCTACACCATATAGTGTGCTAACTTGGGCAAGCTGCTGCATGTTCACAGAAAATGAGAAACTGCTAATTTCTCGTTTTCTTTTTCTTGCTACACCAATGATTGGTAATTTGTCGTACATATCAGTAAACATCGTTTTGAGGTGCTCTATGTTGTCGCTCATAACTTACAATGCGTTCCCGGTGCTGCGGCTACTCAGCGCGACAACTGAGTGCCACGTGATCAACAAGAGCGTAAGCCATACAGATATAGAACATAACGTTAAGTGCAAGCTTTTTCACTTCCTCTATTCTCACACCGCGGCTGCACACATTTAGCAGAAGCCCTAACGTCACTCGTTGTAAAGCCGCGATGAAGCCGGAAGTCAGCCATACTGACTGGGCGAATTCTCCTCTCTAGTTCACATCCGAATGTAAAGCAGAAGGCGCGACTCTCTCTCCGGCTCGGAAAGAAGCACCTGGGCGGCGCAGCGCGCGTGTCGTGACGATCCGAAACTGATGGAACGGGCTCAACACGCTGGGCCAGCTCGACACCTTCGGTGAAATCATTTCGCCCGAGTATCGACAGCGAGCAACAGCTCGCCGACAACGAAGAAAGTACAAGAGAACGTGCGTTAGATGCACTGACAACGCCGAGTGTTTTCACGTCATTAATTTACGCACTGTACAGACATCACGATTGGTCGTGCGCCTTCTTCTACGGTTGCATTCCGACACGAGTCTGACGCAGCGTCCGGCCACTGTGCCCGTGTTCCGCGTGAAACTCACCGGCGTCAGCATTCTACGACCGTGGTGACTTTGAGCACGGTGCAAGTGACACTGGAAGGCGTCGCTCTAACATTGAGATTACCATGCTGCGGGCGAGCATAACAAACGAGACAAAATAGGTGTTTTATTACGCACATGCACATTGTTACTGTACACATACTGAACACGAAACTACGTATGTGCATCCTCATTGGGTCTTGCTGGGCATAGCAGTTTCGTCCGTTGCCACAAACAGTAGCACAGCCCAAACTTCACTGACCTTCAAGGCGTTCATCGTCGTTCCGCTTCGTCATGGTGTCCAACGGAATTTCACTGAACACTTCAAATGCCTAATTTGCGTCATCCGCCGCACGATACATGAATATGCGCGCATTCTACGCACCGTTTAGGCCCCGTCGTGGACGAAAGGTTTTGTAAACGTTGCTAAGAGTACAGTAACTGCCAGGAGAACACAGCGTAACCAATAACGCGGCGCAGAGCTCGGATATTGTCCGCCACGGCTCCGCATAACCATAGCAACGCCGCCATTGTGCCCAGTGAATATGGACGCCATGATGTGATTTCCTCCACACTTTTCACGTAGCGCGCTGGGTGGGCATGCCCTCTCCTATCTCTCCTTCCTTCGTGCATTGAAGACTCGTTCCGGCAGTATGGTAGAAAGCGTTGGATAATTTCAGCCGATCGGGGCGAAAATTCAAGCGTTCTTGCCCCTCGCTGTAACCACACTGAAGAGCACGATCACGATTATTTTTGCGAGTGTCCAAAATAAAAAATTATAACAAAAAGCAGTGTTTTCGTGTCTTGAGAAACGGGTGGCAGGGCTGTACAGGAAAATATCTCGATCCTGTTTTGGAGAACCGCCACTGTCATCCCCTTTTATTCCCCGAGGACGAGCCGGGAGGATTAGCCCGTGCGTGGTAAGAATGCCGCAGGGTAAACTGTGTTCAGCAGCTTGTTCCCCGCGAGGTCATTTGGCGAGGCGGTCGTTTCGTTCGAGTAACAGCGACAGAAAGCGCATTCACGAGTTCGTTTTGGTGCTCCGCGGCCTGCAAGACCACAGTCTGGGTGGGAGAAGCACATCGTGGAAAATAGATGTGTGAGCAGGGGAGGGCGACGTGTCCGAAAAGTTGAGGGGGGGGGGGGGACCGGACGAACGAACGCTAGACGATGGCCGCTCTCAGGGACAGGACAGGCACTGCGCCGTGCTCCCAACCAGGTTGCAGAAATTAGGTGCCTTTTCTCATCTTCTAACCACTACCACCAGGGACAGAAGGGCGCTTGGAACGAACGTAAATAACCTAAAATTGAAATCGGCATTTCACATAGAACTGCCTTCTTCAACTATGAGAATGAATTCACTACAGTCTGAAGGACAATTATGCAATCATGTATACCAGATATTAAAAAAAAAGAAATTAACAAAAATATGTCCTACTGCTTCACGTATTCTTGAGTGAGCGCCGCTTTTAAAGTATTTTGTCCCTGCTTTGAACTGAAGACAAACAAGTTGATTAGATCAAAGCGGAACATCAGACTTCCCAAGTCTGTCCAGTGAGACGGAAGGTTCCGTAGCATCCACCGATACCTTCCTAATAATAATCAGTGAATCGGCCAAAGATTCAATCCTTTGTTTAGAGTTGCCATGAATGCCCGCAAAATCTTGGCGCTTGCATACGCAAAACATGCCGATGTACGAAACAATAAAGACGATCAAGCCAGGAAAAACACGGAAACAAGAGGAGGGACGTTTAACAAGAAATTTTTAGAAACGACAGACACAAATACACAACACGACATACTACTACTACTACTACTACTACTACTATTATTATTATTATTATTATTAATTATTATTACTTGGGGCACCACTAAATATTTTCCTCAATTTCTCTAAATACTCATTATATATGATAAACAGGTGAAATGTTTATGCCATCGCATACGAATATTTTCAGTCTGTCCTGGTGAATCAGTGGGTGCTCAGCTGCTGATCCGAAGGTCGCCGGTTCGATCCCTGTAGCAGCGGTCGAATTTCGATGAAGGCGAAGCGGTAAAAGCCCGGGTACTGCGCGATGTCGGCGCACTTTTTAAAGAACACCATGGCCGAATTTTCCGGAGCCCTCCACTAGGGCGTCTCTCATAAATCATATCGTGGTTTGGGTGCGTACAACTACAGATAATAATAAATCAATTACGAATATGCGCATTGAATCACCATGCACACCATATGTTTATGTACGCTGCCCGACGAATGTCTGCCCACGGCCTCCAATCTGTTGTGTCGTGTTCCAGCGGATTCCACTTTATATCTGCTAACTCGTTAATTTAAGCTCCCTACTCTAATCTCTGCCATCCTCTACTGCGTTGAATCGATTCTTCGGATCACGTGACCCACCCAAGCCCACTTTTTTTCATTTTGATATTTTTCTTTCAACAACATCAGCGCTTTCTTTAGTTACATCATTAATCGTGTGCTCTCATCTCGTCTCTTAATACTGCGCCTATAATTTTTGTTCCCTCTCGCGGCCCTCGACTTCTCTCGTTTCGTTATTATAATTTCCACTAACTGTCTTTTATATGAGTACTGGTGGAATAAAGCAGTTGTGCTTGTTTACCTTTATAGGCAGCTGTCACTTGTTACAATTCGGGAATGTTTCCCCTCTGTGCTCAAGTGGGTTCTTGATCTGGGAATATCTTATGTGCGAGGAGTCGTTCCTGTTTACGAAGGGCCTGAATATGGACAAATTATAGAGACTAATGTCTACTTAGCAATCGTGCACTATAATTCTGCCCATGGCCCAACAAAGATTGTCCAAATTAATTTTGACAATTTTTTATATAGGCGCTCAAACCTTCTTTATCACTTTATTTTTAAGCGAATCGTACCCATGTTATGTACACACATTTATCAGGTTACATGATTACGTTCTCATCAAATATAATCATAGAATCAGACACCTACTTGTCACGGGTACGCAAAGATTGACGCTCCGAGCCCGCAAGGCACTGACGTTGCGGCTGATATCGCGGATTTTCTTATCGAGATCGAATGTCGCGTCGACCGCGGTCGTTTTCTGTCTTTTGACCTACGCAACCACTCATACGTGATCGAATTTCTGTAGTTTTTGCACCGTCATTGAGAACAGCTATCACGTAGCACGTAGCGCACGCTAGCATCCAACTCTTCGCGGAGCGCTGCTTCGAAAGTGGACGTTTCGGCGGGCACATAACTGCGCGTGTTTGCAAGCGATTGCGCAACCAGCTATCTTCACCACCACCGTCGCTTGCCGTGGCAGTCAACAGGCGGCGCGCGCTGCGCAACTTCCGCTCGGTACCGCACTCACCGTAGCCTGGTTATGTGGTTGTTTCTCTCTCTTCCGTACATCTCTCACATGTTCCTCTCTCCTACCCTCTTTCTCACACTCAACCTCAGTCCGCGTGACGAAGCGTCGGAGGCAGCCGTCGATATTGAAATCGCAGTTCCCGTGGAGTTCAATGAGGTGGAGTGTGTGATCGGCGAGCTTGCGGCTTTTTCTAATCCTAGGGTGTTCCTCTCAGCAACCTTCAATCCTCGCAATCAATCAACGGTGAGTACAACTGCGAGCTATTTTCTTCAGCACCTGTTGAGTGTTTACACTGGTGTTAGCGTCGGCTTTTTTTTTTTTTCTTCTCCGCGATGCCTCAAGTGAGATAGGATTTACTGGTGGGATTTTTTTCCTGTTTGCTATTGTTCTTTTTTCAAATTTTCTGTTGTGCCACTAGTGTTCCTTGATTCGTCTAGTGCCACAACTACGCTCGTTGAATGTGCGTTGATTTGTTTACATTTGGCGTGGACATCGTTCCCAAGCAAGCGCGCTCTAAAGCTCGGAGTTCACAACACGCCTGCATTGTTTGTACTTTCCCGTCGTGTTAGCGAACGTAAAATTCGTCAAACGGAAGCTCTTTTTTTTTTCCCTCTTAGTTTTGTTTGCATTCGGATCTACTTTTGGTGAGACGGTGCCGCCTACGTTCGCTCCTCCCTGGCGGTGTGAGGGTTCTTGCAGGATATCCGAAACGTAAACAAACGGCGCTGGCGTCCACCTGTCTTGGTGCGCCCCGTCAGCGCTGTTTAGATGGGAGCGAACATATACATGGGTTATAGGTTGAATAGACGGCATCCCTTCTGTGACTGTAGCTAGTGACCACGCTAATATATATATATATATATATATATATATATATATATATATATATATATATATATATATAGACACGTGTAAAAACTAACATAAACAAAAGAGGCTAAGTGTTTGTGGAACGATGCTTCTTCATACCGTTTCATACCATTGGACGCGTTGCCTACTAAATTGTAGCTGAGAAGGTAATAATTTGCCCTTGACAATTATTAGCTAAATAGCTACAGATTCACTTTTGTAAGCTCAGTGCGTACGCTTACGTAAGGTTATTGTTACGCTGGCGACTAACCACGTTTTGCGGTTCTTTTCTTAGGTATGCGTGCACAGCGTACTGCAAATATTACCGGAGCAATAAATTTGTAGGAGGAAACAAAATGGTTGAAATGCGGACGGGTTTGCAACTAGAACTAGATTTCGGTAAATAACGCTGGTGGGGAAGTAACCTATCGCGCCCTCGATGGACGGGTGGGTGTATTGTCAGCGACGAGGTTTTTCTTTTACGCAGAAGTTGTATTAAGCACCAAAAACTAAAAAGGTCTTGTTTTGTTCGGGACGGTAATTACCCTACTTGACTCATCGGTTCGTTTCTGTTTGTTACCCTTGCATTTTTACTCATCGCTTTTCTCGAATAATATTGAAGTTTACATGGAAATTCCACGCGCAGTACAGCGACACATTAAAATGTGCACGTAGAGCGACGCCCTGCTGTACTGAATGAGGAGAAGTGTATGCACTGCTTTGGCGTTGTTGACAGCTACAGGACGTGCGCGTGCGTTGGCCTATCGCTTCGCCACCGTTCGCCGACGGATCTGTTTTTACGCAACTAGCTTGTGCAACACCGTTGCAGCTGGAGACCCTTTTTTTATTAGTTGAGCCCGGCGGAAGTAGTCTCACAGCTGATTAGGCCAACATATTCTATTCGCGCTATTGCAGAAAAGAAAAATATGGAAAAGCGGTGGCCATCAATTTTGGTCAAAAAAAAATGTGCAGATATTTCTCGTTTTTGTGAACAGACGAGCGAGAAACAAAAATAATGTAGGACTAAGTTTACGTAAAACCGCCGTGTATGCGCTGTTTTATTTTTTTAGACTCGAGAGGGATAATTATCCAGATGAATATTCGTACTCTTTATTGAGTAACTAATTATCTTGATCGAAGTTAAAAGCGGACATTATCGGGTGTCCGCGGTGCTGTGTATACAACTGTGGACGGTCTCCCCTATGTGAACCACAGCGGCCGTGATCCTAACGTGTGCTGGTACTGCAATAGGAGAGCTGTTTGTCATACTTTTGCTTAGACAGTTCGAAACTGTCGTTACGTTGTCTGGTATCGGGTCCTTACAAATAAAAGCACGAGGGAACGTACGGCCCCGCCTCCATTCCTGAATTTGATTTTTTTTTTCTCATACGCGTTCTATAAGGGCTTAGCAGATTAACGGGCTAAATACTCACGTTAACGCTTTGTAATTTTCGCTAATGGTAAACTAATGACATGGGCTAGTATACCAGTGATGTCCTAAGCCAAGGCCGGTGCCCAGTTTTATACGAAATGATTAAGGATACAAACAATGTCGCGCAATACACTGGCAGCAGAACACGGGTCAATCGAGCGGACACTCCGGAAAATTGCCCGGATGGGCTTTGTTTATTGCACTGACCTACTGATCCTCGCTAGATATTTTTGTTTAGACGACTATGTCGTGACAATCCACGTCCAAAGTTATCTTGTAACGTAGCCAAATGTCTTGTCATTCCGGACCTGAATCAACCAGCAGCTTCAAAACAAAAGATACACAACATAATATACAACGACGCACAAGAACGCTAGAAATAGATGAACGAAAACGCTACTGCGCGAAACGGCAATACATGAACAGAAAACGAAAATATGCAACTATTCTCAATATCACTGTGATTCGCATATCTGTTTTGCGGAACGAAGGTGATGGGAAAGAGAAGGCCGGGCCGTGAACCGGCATGTGGATTGGAGCGGCTGCGTTGACGCGCACGTGTCTGTCGCGCGGCCGGGGAGCGCAGACCGCGGCGGCTACACGCGCTTCGCCGGCGCTCGAAGGCGCCCGAACGGCGGGCGACGCTCGGATACCGGAGAAGGGAAAGGGTAAAAAAAATAAAATTAAAGGGCGCTGAGGGCTTCACGGCTGCCGTGGTTTTGCGGTGCGCTGGCTGCCGAACGCGAGGAGGAGGCGTGGCACCGTGGCGCGCTCGGCGTTGCGATCGTTGCGAAGTAGCATCGGCCGAGACAGGCCCTGCGCCGTGCTCCCGACCAGGTTGCAGAAATTAGCTGCCTTTTCTCATCTTCTAACCATCACCACCGGCCGAGCGCGATTGAAGTGACATATGAAACGTTTCAGGACGAACGCTACTCGCACTGTCGAAGAGTGGAGCAGACATGAAGGGTCCTATTTAATATAAGCGCTGGTATAATGCTTCCGTACAAGTATTTCTGTACGAGGCGCCTTATCGGGCGTGAGTCACATGATGTGATCCTTTTGGGATGGATGGATGAACTTTTATTACGTCCACCGGAAAGCCCTTTAGCACGTTGCTGGCCGTTCCCACGTCATAAAAAGCAAGACTAATTTGCTCTGCTGCGTCGCAGGCCCATTGAACTGCCCATAACTGTTGTTCGAGTCTGGAGCTGGTAATAGCACGTTCCCATATGGATGGCGTGATAACTTCAGCACAACGTAATGGGGGACAACGCCAGAGCGCGTGTTCCAAGTTAGGTGTATCATCGCCAAAGGAGCTTGTGCTTGGTTCTAAGTAAGATCGAGCAAAGCATGGCCAGGCGACCCCTTAAATTGCTTTCAGAAGCCTTATTATTCTGGTTTGATGAGTGTGAAGAAGAGATACACAATTTGTTTTGCCGAAAAATGTTTTTTCCAAGCACAGTAAATCAATAACGACGAAGACGTGGCCACGCATACCTGCTCTGCTGTTTTTTCCGACTTTGGCGATGAACTACACAAAATAAATAACAACGTGTACTTCAACTTCACGTACCTCTATAAACGCATATTTGTGCTTACTTTCCTGTTATTTCTCGTTTCTCTGGGTTGTTCAGATATCTTCAATAACAAATATCGAAATTGACCCAGAAAAAGTTTTGTTTTTTATGCCTAGTTTGGGGGCCCTTTTTTTAAACAAGGTCTTACAACAGAGCGGTAACGATTCCGCAGTTTTCTCTCAACATGCGCATTATAAATCTGTTAAAGTTTATATTATTAACACTTTTCAATAAAGAGTATAATCGCGCCTAACTTCCAAAAAAGAAAGAGCACGCAAGCGAAACTTCTGATGACGATGAAAACAGAAAAAACCCTTTTGATATTTCTTAAACTCTCCCCACTTATCCTCCTGAACATCAGCTTTCAAAATCAATAAACACATGTTGCATGATGCGGTTTCATTTGCAGTTACGACCCGTCAAAAAATGGCCTACCGCAAGGACTTTTTGCCGGATAAACATGGAATCCAGTCCTATGTTTTTTGTTTTTTAAGAGGTATAAGCAGCACTGAAATAGCTGTCGACTGCACTGAGGACGCCAATTTCGAAACGATTTGGTAACGCAAGCGGTCAGGAGTGCGGGACTAACGAGCAAGCATGCGCGCACAGTCCGGCGTGGCAAAGAGGGCTCGTTTTCGTGTCCTCAGATGGATAGATTGCGATAGAGCCGGGGATCACTTTCACGCATGTGAATTGGAGCATACCTATTTTCTCCGCCCTTTGCGCGCATAGCGGCCTCGTGCTGTTGGCATGCAGACGTAGCAGACATTTCTCGCCATTTTTTTTGTGTGTGTGTGTCCAAAGTAAACGCGAACAAAAAAATTGGCAGCATATCCACGGAGTGAGTGATGGAGAGTGGGGCGAAGCATTCGTCCGTCCATTCGTTCTTGCTTCCGTCCGTCCATGTGTACTTCTGTGAGCCTCCATGCGTCCATCCGCCCGTCCGTGCGTGCATCTGTTGGTGTGTCCGTCCCTGCGTTCGTCCATGCATCCGCCCCTGCGTCCGTTCATGCGTCTATCCATGCATCGGTCTGTGTATCCGTTCGTTCATCTATTCAACACTCCCAAGTACCACCATCTCGCATCTTTTCATCATATATTCTTCATATAGAAGCACCACCATCCAGCGGACATTCCAAGGACTAAACGAGAGGTGGCACACGCACACTTTCTTAGGGCTTGCGCTTCGGGTCTACTTCCCACCTTTAACCATCTCGAGATCTTGTTATATACTAGTTCATTGTATTCATGGCACTGCAGCCCAACGCTCGCTAAACCTTTCTAAAACCAAGGAGGTTACGCCCAGCGAGTATAATGTAGCAACCTTTTCCTGTCAGATAGTGCTCAATATACATGCCAATGGCTGCTAATGGGAAATGAGAGAC